GCCACAGGTGGTCCAGGCAGCACGCTTCAGCAGCGACTTCCCTGCTGCCCTCACATACGCCCTGATGCTCCAAGCAAGCTGGACGCCAGCTGCCAGAGATTCAGCCAGCTGCAGCCTGCCCTGAGCCCTGCCCACCCCCACAGCCCAGTGTGGGTCTGCCTCCCTTCCAAAGGCAGACCTTGGCGCCTCATCAGAGGTCCAGCCTCCCTGCTCCCACCCCCCAGCCTTGGAGTAAAACCAACTGGGAGAGGCTTGGGGAGGTGGGTGTTGGATTAGGGGCGTAGATCTTGAGATGACTCACAGGCCACCCGAGGGGAGAAAGGGGCTGGAGGATGAATGGATTGCAAACCAGAAGGAGGGGCTGAGGAGATGAGCTTTGGTGCCTCCAGTCGCCCGCGTCAGTTTCTTCAACATCTGCAGTGCGTGGGGCTGAGCGATCCCACTGGGGGGTTGGGGGAGTGGGGCTGCGAGGCTGGCTGACGTTTGCTTCCCGCCTGCTGGGTCGGCCCGGAGCAGTTATGAATGACTCACCTCATTGTCAGGCTGATTCACTGCTTGCCTGGGGACTTGGGGGGTGGGGTGAGGAGGCGGGAGCAGCCCCCTCTGTACGTCTCACACGCGCGCACACACGCGCATCCACGCGCGGGCGGGGCTCCAGCGGATCTATTTACCTGCTGAGGTCGGGATGCAGTAGATGGGTTTCCGTGGCAAGAGGGAGGGGGATGCACACCACTTGGTCTGTGGAAAACAAGTTTGAGGTTTCTGTCTATGGTCTATCTGTGGCTATTTACATTTAAATTAACTAAAATTAAATACAATTAAAACTTTGGTTCCTCAGTCTAACTGGCCACATTTCAAGTGCTCAATAGCCACATGTGGCTAGCAGCTACTCTGTTAGACAGTACAGATGGAAAATATTTCCGTCAACACAGAAAGTTCTATCCCATAGCATGGGTCTACACAGCCTTCACGCTCACAAAGTCACACAAGCAGACCAGCCCTTCCCCGCCCCCATACTCTCAGATCCCCACCCTCCTATGCAACACACAGCACATATTTAATTCCACATACTCACTCAATGTGCAACACCCACTCACCAACACAGCCACACAACACTCTCAATGTGTGTACACACTTCAAGTGTATGTCACTGTCCACACCAAGGCAAATGTAAATATAAACAAATACATCATCACACTGATTTGCATACAATTGTTCATACCATAAAAATACAAATTAGGGCAAAACACATTTGCAAATATGCTGAAAAAGACACAAACTCAAGCCATGTGGTTCCCATAACAAATCTCAGCACATGTTTGCAAACTCGAGTCAGGGGGAAAGGAACCCACATTGTTGAGGCCCTGCCAACATGCCAGGCGTGGAGTTAGCCATTTCAATGCATTAATTCATTTAATCTCACAGCAACTCTATGAGGAAGATGTATTATTCCATTTTCATAGATGAGACAACTAAGGTTCAGAGAGGTAAAGTAACTTACTCAAGGTCACACAGCCAGTTAGCAACAGGGTCAAATATGAACAGAGATTTGTTGTGCTCCATAGCCAATGCAGCATGCTATCTCCAAACACAGACTCACACACACACACACACACACACACACGCTCCAGGTGTGCTGTCCTTTGTACCTAGGAAAGTGAGGCTCCTTATTTAGCAACTGCAAGTATTTGTGGAAGTGAGCATGGAGTTGCCTAGACTCATTCCACTCCCTCCTGACACAAATGGCCTTAAGTTATTCAACAAACACTTGCTGAGTGTCTCCCAGGTGCCAGGTTGAAAAGCCACAGCTGTTGCCCTGAGGGGCTTCAAAGTCCAGCAGGGAGGTGTGAGGGAAACCTGAAGACAACACAGGGCATACAAGAGATCCAAGCTATAATGGAGGTAGTCCACAAATGTGGGGAACCAAGGAGAAGGAAACCTGGGTCTGCCTGGGGCAGTTAAGGAAGGCTTCTTAGAGGAGGCAGCATGTGACCTGGAGCCTGAAGAATGAGTTGGGTGGAGAGGGATTGATATTGATCAGGAGATTGGTTAAGAGATAAGACAGGGCAGGGATGCCCATGCAGGGCATTGCAGGCCCCTAGGGATTTTATTTGTCATCCTCCAGTGACTGGAAGGGATTGAAGAATTTTCACAGTGGAAAAATAGTATCCAATTTGCTTGTTAGAAAAATAGACAGAAGGGAGGAGAGCTTGGACTAAGGAGGCCATGCTGGAGGCTACTGCAATCGTCCAGGCAGGAGATGGTAAGGCCTGATGTAGAGTGTAGGGCATCTTGACAAGACGAAGGATGGAGGGCTGGCCCCGTGGCTGCGCGCGTTCCACTTCAGCAGCCCAGGGTTTCTCTGGTTTGGATCCTGGGTGCGGACCTAGTACTGCCCCTTAGGCCACGCTGAGGCGGCGTCCCACAGAGCACAACCAGAAGGACCCACAACTAGAATATACAACTATGTACTGGGGGGCTTTGGGGAGAAGAAGAAGAAGAAGAAAAAAGAAGATTGGCAACAGATGTTCGCTCAGGTGCCAATCTTTAAGAAAAAAAAAGATGAAGGATGGAGGAGAATGGAGGGGGAGGGAGTTAGGGTGTATCCTGGTCCCGAGAAAGAGCAAGGCAAGAGGCTTCTGACCTATGAAAATGTGATGAAAGCCATGGATGCTCTCTTAGAACAAGGCACACGCACAGAGGCACGTGATGTTTTGCACATAATTATAGGGGACTTATATTCCCTGAAGCCCCAGGTTAAGAACCCAGTTCCTTGGAATTCTAAGCAGCAAAACAACATAGTGGTTAAGCCTGTGGACGCTGGAGTCAGACTGCCTGGTTCATCATCTCAGCTCCACCACCTATTAGCTATGTGAGCTTGGCTAAGACATTGACCCTTTCCTCATCTGTAAAGCAGAAGTCAAGTCTTGTTACGATGATCAAGAGAGTTGATACATGTGAAGTACTCAGAACCTTGTCTGGAACACAGAAAGTGCTCAGGAAGTACTGGCTGCTATTGTTATGGGTTAAATCAGGGTGCTACTGAGACCCCCTCGTTACACTCACTCCCCTTTGTACCCCACTTCACACCTGGGGTTCTGGTGTCTTCTGGTGTGGGTCCTCCTGCCCGAGTCCCAGCACCCGTTTCTCCCTTTCCCTGAACCCATTCCTTCCTTTTTGAGTCTCCATTATCCTCAAGCCTGGTTACCACAGTTAAGCCCACCAACCTCTCTTCTAAGCGGAGGAAGAAGAGGACCTAGTTCCGATCACCATGGAGACACGGTCTTTGCCTCTTCCTTCAGACGACACTGTTAGGAAGGAGAAGGTATTTGATTGTGGGGACAACCCTTCAGTATGGGAGTCCTTCCCAACTCTAGAATCACAGACGACCTCCTTACTGTGTCCTGCCAGCCTCTCTAAAATGTCCCAAGTCCACATTTTCCATTTGCTCTAGCCACTGCTCCCACCGCCATTCAGGTTCTAACAGAAAGTGGCGGCAGCAGATGCCAAGTTCGTTTAACTTAGAAAGGCGATAGAGGAGAATCCATAGGATTTCCAATCAGAAGGTCCACCACTGAGTGACTCTGACCCTGAGGAAGTATCCTCCCCCTCTGGGCCTCAGTTTCCTAGTCTGCAAAGTAATACCTGCCTCTCACTCTTCATGGGATCTTTGTGAAGACAAAGTGAGCTAATGGTTAAAATGGAAAACTGCAAACTACAGTGTGCATAGGAGTTGCTATGATTCCTCTCGGTCTTTTGGGCTCTGTGACCTCCCTTCAGCTGGAGCTGACAGCTCCCAGATCTACAGGGAGCCCTGTCCCTGGGTCTCACAGCTGGGCAGAATGAGCAGCACTTGGGATTCCTGTGAGGAGAGGAGGCCTGTATACGGGAGGGTGGGGGTTTTGTCCCCTAGCTCAGAAGCACAGAGGCCTTGAGGGAATTCGTAACTTGAATGAGAGTTAAGGGTCCAGGTTCCCTTTCCCATCTCCATTCTGGCCTCCATTCTGACGTTTGACAGGTTAACTGGTCCACATAAAGCTACGATGGAAGCCACAGGCTGCCCGGAAGTGAGGCCAGGCCAGGCCACCCTTGGGAAGATCCAGGGTTGGTCCAGATCAGGTCATTAAGAACTCAAGTCAGCTACCTTCCTCCTGCCTTTTGAGTCCTTAAAACTATGCAGCCCTAGCTGTCACTCTGACTAGCTCTCTCATGACAAGCAAAAAGGAAAACTGAGGCTGGACTGAGGGTCAGTAACCACAGCAGGCTTTAGTGACAAAAGCTGGCCTTCTCAGGTCACTGGGCCCCTGCCCATCTCTCTGCACAAGTCTCCTGGACTCCATCTTTTGATCTGTATCTCCCTGACTTGTTTGTGAACTTGAGGGCACAAGGAGTCTTATTCATTTCTCTATCCCCAGTGTCAAGCACTGAACCCGATACATAGTAGTCATTGTCATTCAATAACTCTATTGAGCGCTGGGCTAAGTGCTGGGGATACAGAGTTGAACAAGCCAGACAAGGCCCCTGCCCTCATGGAGCTCATATTCTAGTGAGGACGACACACGATGAAGATGTAAACCAAGACAATTTTAAATTATGGAAAAGTGCTGAGAAGGAAATCGAGTGTGATAGGGGAGGGATGCTAATAAAAATGTGTTGCTAGATGAACGGATTGTTAGATGGATGGATAGATGAACAGACAGACAACCATCGGGGTGGATTCTGGTGTGAATGAGAGTCAAGCTCTAGTATCCAGTCCGCAGTGTGCTTAACGCCAGAAAGCAGGGTGGGCAGGATTGGGAGTAATGGGTCCAGGATTCCCAGCCTTGCTCTCACCTGAACACGTGTTAAACCAGCCGACCGGCCCCGAGGGGCCGCTGGGGGGCGACCGAGCGCTCATCCATTTCCCTTTAAGGCCAGGGCGGAAGACTGGCGGACGGAGGGCCTTTGTGTCGGCGGGATAGAAAGAGGCCCGCCCCTTTAAGAGGGCGGAGACGCTGGAGTGGCGGCGGCTTCGAATGCGGCCTAGGGCGGCAGTCACGGCGGCCCTCCCTCGGCTCCAGCCTGGGTCGCGGGGACCTCTCCGACCTTACCCTGGAGACACCGTCGCCCGGATCCCGACCCTCCCCCCGGCCAAGTCCGAGGCCCCGGTGACCCCTCGAGGGGGGCCTGCCGGGCCAGCCCGCCGTCGCCATGGTAAAGCCGCGCTCGGCCGCCCGGCCGCCTGGTCCCTGCGCCGCGTTCCCGGGCTCCAGCCCCTCACCCGTGCAAGCCGCAGGGCCGGGGCCGGGTTAGGGTTTGGTGAGAGCTGGGGGCTGCGGAGGGACACCTGGGCTCTAGCTGAGACTGGGAAGGCTCTCCTCTCACCTCCCTCTGGGCCTCAGTTTCCCTCCTGTTGCCTTCTAGCCTTTCTTGGCGAACTCCTGTTCATCCTTCCCCGTGCGCTCAACGTCATGCCTCCTGAGCCCGACCCCCTCCCTCCCCACAACCCGTCCATCCTGACCCTTGGACCTTGCGGGTAGGGATCCCTAATTGCAGCTCTTGCTGCTTTGGCATCTGGGGTTAGGCGCAGCCCCTGGCTCTGGGTTTGACACACGTCTAAGAGCTGACCACAGCAGCCCTGCTGCCTAGAAGGAAGGAACTGTGGACTGGAGCTTCCCACCCTCCTGGACCCTAGGCTTTGGGCGTTGAATTAGATAGAAGGAAACCCCTGGCTTGGCTTTCAGAAACAAGGCCACTTTTTGGGCATTCTTGGCTTTGTGGTAGCGTCTCATATGTTTGACAAAGTTTCCTCAGGCCAAACGCTCAGGATGTGGCAAAATCCTTAGGCCCATGTGCACAGTGCTGAGTCTAAAGAATGACCTTTGCTCCCTTCGGCAGCGTTTCCTTTGCCTCCTCCCCCGTCTTCCAAGATTAATGCTGATGGACCCGAGGGAATTATTTTACCAGAAAGGATTCTAAATCATGTCTTTAAGTAAATGTCATCTCTTCTCTCCTCATCCCTTATTCCTCCCCCAACACTAGCAAAAAACGGTACACCTGATGGTCTTGTTAGAATGGGGAAGAAGCATAGGGAGGACAGAATGTACTTGCAAACGGTGTTTCTCCTCCAACCTCAATTGCTTTGTTTTCCTTTCAGGCATGCAGTTTGCAGAAGCTGTTTGCTGTGGAAGAGGAGTTTGAAGATGAGGTAAGGAAGTGTTGGTGATCAGAGATGGCAGAGGAGGCCTTAAGATGTAAACACCGAGGCCAGAACATTTTGGGCAGTCTGCCCCAGTCTCCTTTTACTTGACACATACATCTTTTTGTCTGTGAGAGACTGAGAAATGATGAGAACGTAAACAACCTGCTTAACTGTCTTAGAATCAAATAAAAACCAGAGAGATGAGCTGCCTAATTGTCATACCTTAAATTATAAGGGCCCTTGTCTGGAAGCTGTGTCATGTGCATGATTTGATTCACTTTCATGATGACATACTTGAGGTGGGAAGAAAGTTTACGGAAAGCCAAAGACAGCACAGTTACTGAACAGCAGGAGGCCTGGCGTCACCAACTGGTCACATGAGCCAGGGCAAATTACTTCATTCCTTGGCCTTGCATTTCCTCTTCTGCAATATAAAGGGCGTTCTGCCTCAAATGCTCTTTGCTTCTCTCTCCCTCCTCAGAAGATGAGAGATTAGACTAGATCTGAAGCTGGCACATTAGAATCACCCCTCTCGAGGCCCTATGACATACCCATTCAATCGGAATTTCTGGAGATGGGCCCAGGCAGGGGTACTTCTAATCTCTGGGTGCAACCAGAGACCACTGAACTAGCGATCTCTACAGCTCTCTTCCTGCTCAGATCCAATGAATATAGTTTCATCTGAAGGCTCAAAATTGCTACCTCAAATCCTTTTCAGAAAGAGGCAGGATTTAAGTGAATAAAGCCCCAAAAGGAAAATTAACTTGCTTAAGAATATAGCACCAACAGCCACAATGAGGTCCTGGCCTGCTGACTCCAGTCTAACATGCATGGAAACTACTAAACTACATTTGTAGAATAGAATTGCTCTATTTTATTGATGACAAACCATTCAAATCTACTTTTTGTCTCCCAGTGCTTTGCTTTAAGAATCATGTTTAGAAAAATTAGGCATCTAATTTGTGCCTAGTATGGTGGTGAATGGTGCACTCGGGACCCTGCTGGCAGCGTCACCCTACGCTCCCCTTCCTTTGAGGGTTTTGGGGCCTGAGGTTTGAAGGGAAACATACATCTTCCTCAGACTCTTCAAAACCAATCTCTGGCTGCCTCGTTCATTGAGGGGCTAAGATATAGTGACAAGGACACATGGATTAGTCCTGGTTCTGTGAAGTTACGTAACCTCTCTGAGTCTCAGTTTCTCCATCCATAAAACAGGAATAATAATAGTACTATTCAGGGGGTCGGCTCCCCTTTGGCAGCCCGGGGTTTCACCTGTTCAAATCCTGGGCGTGGACATGGCACTGCTCATCAAGCCATGCTGAGGCGGCGTCCCACATGCCACAACTAGAAGGACCCACAACTAAAAATATACAACTATATTCTGGGGGGCTTTGGGGAGAAAAAGGAAAAATAAAATCTTAAAAAAAAATAGTACCTATTTATAGGGCCATTGTGAGAACTCATTAAGAGGATTCTGGTAAAATGTTTACATGGAGCCTGGCACCCAGTGAGGTTTCAAATGTTAGATGTTTTTGTTTTTACAAATAGTCCCAAATTGCCAGCTTTGTCAAGGAAATGTGTCCTTGTCTTTGTCTTTCAGCTTTGGAGATGCGTAATTACAGCCTGAGAAAGTGACTGTTAAAGTGACCCTCTTGGGTCTTACCAGGTGATGGTAGGACTGCTAGGCTGGGAATGGAATTAAGAGCGAAGGACTCTGACAACTCAAGTTTCTGTTCCATGACCAGTCCCTTTCTCCCTTCCCAAGGCAGATCACCTCATGTCTGAGAGTGAGCTCTTCAGGAAAAAAGCGATCCGTCAACCCCCAGGGTCGTCAGCATTGTGCTGCTGCTGTAATTCTGATGTTGTTATTATTGCCAAGTCCTCAGGTGGGCCTACTGGGTTACGCTGCTCTCCTGATTATACACGAAGCAGGAGAAAACCTTCCTCAGCCCAGACAATCCAATGCGGCAGCAGGGGGTGGGGGTGGAGGGGACCTTCCTGTCAGTTAAATCAGCAGTTCTGACTCAAAAGCACCCTCAGAACAGGTCTGTTGCTCTTGAAGGTGTCAATCTCACCTTGCTTCCCAACTGGAATCCATACTTAATTTAACTTGCCTGAAAAGCTATATTTAACTTCTGCCTATTTTGCTGGATCCAAGGCCTCCCTGGTTTACTAAAGGCCCTGTGTGTGTGTGTGTGGTGGGGGTGAGGAGCGGGTGGAGGACAGGCAGCACGACCAGCTAGATAGACGCCTTTTGCATGGGCTGGACACCAGAAAGTGCTTCTTTGAGATGGCTGTGTGACCTTGGGTGATGTGTTTGACTCCTTGGTACCCTGGTGCATTTGCTTCTCCTGCTGCGCCCCCAGCTGTGTCCCCCCCGCCCCCATAAAATACCCCCTCAAACTGAGATTAAAGAAAGAGAGAGAACCTACCTGAACACTTTTTTTTTTTTTTTTTTTTTTGAGGAAGATTAGCCCTGAGCTAACTACTGCCAGTCCTCCTCTTTTTGCTGAGGAAGCCTGGCCATGAGCTAACATCCGTGCCTATCTTCCTCTACTTTATATGTGGGACGCCTACCACAGCATGGTGTGCCAAGCAGTGCCATGTCCACACCCGGGATCCGAACCGGCGAACCCTGGGCCGCTGAGAAGCGGAGCGTGTGAACTTAACTGCTGTGCCATTGGGCTGGCCCTGCTACCTGAAGACTTAACCTTCGAATGTTTCTCGTAGAAGCCTGGTGGTGGGCTCATGGGCAAGGTCAAGGGAGTGGGAGTCTCCACCATTACCTTTCACGCCTTGGTCTCTTGCTTGTGTGTAGCCATGCATACACACCGCATGCCTGAAACAGTAAAAGCAGAGTGTTTCTTGATTTCCAGATGCCAAGACCCACTGTCTCTGCTTGTTTGTAGGATTTCTTGTCTGCCGTGGAGGATGCAGAGAACCAGTTTGCCGGTGTGAATGCCGGGTGCCTGAGACCTGTCTCTTCCAGGCCACAGGAGACTGTGCAGGCACAGTCTTCCAGGCAGCTGCCATCATGTTCCACTGCTCCTTCAGAGGCCTTGGGCCTGCCAGCCCTGGGACTCCGCCTTTCTACCTCCAGCATGCCGGAGGCCTCCAGGGGTCCACCTTCCACAGGAACAGCCCCCCTAAGGCCTGTCTTGACTTCCAGCAGCTGGACTGGCAATCCAAGAAAAGTGACCTTGACAGAAGTGTTCAAACAGCCAGCAAGACCCCAGTTCTCAGCCTCCCACCCTCTGCTCACCTTCGAGAGCCAACAGCAGGTGATTGGTGGCTTTGAGGGGTCTGAACAAGATGAATTTGATAAGGTCCTGGCAAGCATGGAGCTGGAGGGGCCTGGCCCAGAGCTGGAACATGGAATTAGCGGTGAGGCCACAAGAATCCTGCCCACCTGGCAGCAGGAGGACTCAGTATTGGCTAAAAAGGCCCGGGGAGCTGATCTGAGCAGATCTTGCCAAAAGGGACCCATGCCTGCCACCCATGTATGTGGTATCATGTCAGCGGAGAATGAGCCTCTAGGCCCTGTTCACTGTAGGACTCCACAGCCCTGCTTGAGCCCTGGTGCCGTGGGTAACCTTCCTGTCCCAACCGCCTCAACAGTTCCTGCTCAGCAACCCCCCTGGGAAGTCTGTTCCAAAGGTCCCCTTCTTCGAGCACCCCAGCCTCTCCAAGCTGCTTGCGGGCCTGTTCAGCGCAGCCCTCAAAATCGTTTCCCCAGTCAGCCATTCCAGTCTCCAAATGCCCACTTAAGTGGCAAAGCTCGTTTTCCTGGACCACGCACTCCCAACTCAAGCTGTTCTCCTCCCTCAAGGCCTACCTCTGCATCGTTTCCTCGGGGGCCCGTACAACCCCGAGCTCCACTGTGTTCTGCCAAGTCTCCTTTCGGCACCCTAAAGAGCTCTCATTCCTCCCCGGTTCCCCAAGCAGCTCTGCAGACGCCCGTCGTTACCAACCACCTGGTGCAGCTGGTCACTGCTGCCAACCGGACACCCCAGCAGCCCACCCGCACCTCCACCCGCACCAAGACACGCCGCTTCCCTGGCCCAGCAGGGATCCTGCCTCACCAGGTGAGTGACAGCTTCTCTCTGCCAGAAGCCACAGCTGTCGAGCACATTGGGGAGCAAGGGAGAGAAGCGGAGTTCCAGCACTGTCCAGTCCTAGAATATCTTTACTCCTGGGGAGGTGAAGGAAGGAAGTGCAGACAGGGAGGGTTTTCAGAGCTGTGGAAGGAGTCAGAGGATGTGGGAAGGAAGACTTGAATGCTTGAAAAACCACACATGAGAGAGGTGCTTAAGACTCTGAGAACTTCACAATTTTCATTCATTTATTGAGCGCCTACTGTTTGCTGGCACTGGGGCTGGAAGATGCATTCACCTATATTTGCTAAGGACTTGTATGTGTTGGGAAATTTGCTTGGAACTGAGAATGCAGAGATTAAAATAGAAATAGTTGCTGTCCTAAGGAGCTTACCATGTAGTGGAAGAAGCAGACGTGAACAAGCGATTATACATAAAATGCACAGTGTGAATAGAGGTCATTCCCTGGATGATGGGGAGATATTGGGCTCCTTGAACTTGCTGAGTGGGATTTGAATGGACGAATAGGAGGTTAACAGGTGTGTGTTGCAAGGCTGTGCTCTGGAGGACATTCTAACAGTGGCATGTGCAAAGGCACAGAGGCATGAGTGCTCTTGGATGTGGCTGGTGGGTGGGGTCAACATGGGAAAGTTGTGGCTGTGCTGCCAGTTTGGATTTCAGCAGTGGTGGAGGGACAGGATCCATGAGCCTAGTCTTGGATCAGATCCCAGATTATTGAACTCTGAGAATCTGGTCTGGTTGTGGTAGGTGCACCCCTCTGCTTGCATTTTAAGGATGTTTGAAATAATTTCTACCTTTTACTTGCTCTTCCCTAGCGCTTTAAGAGAAATCCAAGAAGGCCACCTACATTCCTCCTGTGCTGGATCTCTGGAGTGAAGGGTTAGGTCCCTGAGAAGGGATTTGGGGAAAGCTGCCCCTTTGCATGTCACAGACCTCTCTATTCAGGTCATTGGCACCTTCAGGAAACCCTGGGCTTTGCTCCTGGGCCTGCTCCAGCTTCTCCACATTCCCATAACGATCCCCAAAGCGTCTTTTTTGAGCTGCCAATGAGGCTCCTGAGACTTTGTTGGGAGAGATGTAATATGTGTTAATTGTCCCTGATAGTTTCCTGAACTCATTATGTAACCCAGACAAGAAGCTGTACTTGTAAATAACAGCTGCTGAGCTTGCTCTCGCCTTCTCCTTCTCTCTCCCCTCATAGCACAGTGAGAAAAATCTGGAGGAGATCATGGTTTCTACGCCCCAGACTCCAACTCACGGTGCTTTGGCTAAGTTCCGGACAGAGGTAACTAATTCTGTGCAAATGTTAACTTTCTGGGCATCATTTAAGAGTGAAGGCCATCCCTCCATGTTTCAGGAGTTAAGTATCAGGGTTGATGCTGCCAGACCTTTTTCCTGGGGTCACACACCAAAGAACATTTGGAGAAGGCAGTTTGGGGAGGTGGCATTTTACTGGCATAAAGTGAAGGCTAGCCTGATGCCAACCAGGCGTTAACCAAGGTCCTGGGTCCAGCCTTCTTTCCCATCTAAGAAAGAAAGGCCCAGCTAACTCCATCTTCCCTCAGGGAGGAGAGTGTAATAAATATCAGGAAATTGTATCTCGGAAACCCTTCCTCTCTGGTTTCTGGGAATTGAGCCGGAAAGGATCTGCCTTCATCTTGCCTCCAGTGGGTTCCGTTTTGGTGGGTGAGACCCAGCGTCCCTCCTCCCTGGGATTCTGGTTGACCTGCTCTGCCCTCAGAATCACTTTTGTTTTTAATTCTTTCTAACAGTTTTTCTCTTCGCTGCAGCTCCGTAGATCTACCAGTCCATTTCAGATCCAAAGCAGCAAATACTCATCTGAATTCAAAGCATATTTTGATAAAGGGAGGTTAATAGTTAAAGCCAGAGGCATCCCAAATAAAATATAACTGTTTCAAAATGGCTAAGGCACTCTGGAAGCCCTTAAATGTATGTGGGGGCTCCCTAGCCCTAAGACTTTTCAAGTCTATGACAAGAAACAGGCACGGATAGCCTTTTGCTTCAGTGTGAAGTCAGGACCTGATTTAAAATAAAAGAAAATATAGAGCACCTTTGCTATTGCTCCTAAGTGAAAGATGTGACGCGAAACAACATTTTACATACCGTTTTCTGACCTTGGAGATAAATGAAAGGAGAGACTGTGGCCACTATACTATAGGGAATTTGTCCTTCCTCTCCCACCCCTCATCCTGTTTCAGTCAAGGTCAATGGCACGGTGCACTCATTAATGCAGGCTCCCCCTCTGCTCTGTGGTGCCAGATCGTTACTAGCTCCCAGGCAGTGGTGGAGGAGGATTTTGGGCGAGGGCCCTGGCTGACCATGAAATCTGCTCTGGGCCTGGATGAGAGAGACCCCACCTGCTTCCTCTGTACCTATAGCATCGTCATGGTGCTGCGGAAGGTAAGAGTCCTGGGTGCCAAGGCCCGAAGGGAAGACCTCTTTTTTTTCCTCCTTTTTCTGCCCAAATCCCCCTGGTACATAGTTGTATATTCTTAGTTCTGGGTCCTTCTAGTTGTGGCATGTGGGATGCTGCCTCAGTATGGCTTGAGCGGTGCCATGTCCGCACCCAGGATTCAAACTGGTGAAACCCTGGGCTGCTGCAGCGGAGCACACAAACTTAACTGCTCGGCCACGGGGCCAGCCCCAACAGGGAGACCATTTTTATCCCTTTCGCTGCTGCCTACTCCACCTTCAGAAAGGGGCTATCTGTCTGCTGCCTCTGACCCCAGGCTGGCCTCTGAACGGCAGCACCAAGTCCCTTTGGTTGTATCTCCTACTCACCTACCTTTTCACTACTATCCACAGTATTGGGCACAGGCAGAAGGTGAGTCGGTTATGGACATGTCTCTGCACATCTAGGCCCTGGATGGGGTGGGGTGAGCACACTGCTACCCTTAGAGCTCCCCAGAGGTCAAGGGTCAGGTGCAGGCACATGTTAGTACATGTGCTAACATATCCCTGCCCATGGCCTGCCATGATGGAGCACTATATAAAAATATACACAAAAGGGGGCCGGCCCAGTGGTGCAGCAGTTAAATTCGCATGTTCCCCTTTGGCGGCCCAGGTTTCGCCAGTTTGGATCCCCGGTACGGACATGGCACTGCTTGGCAAGCCATGCTGTGGTAGGCGTCCCACGTATAAAGTAGAGGAAGATGGGCACGGATGTTAGCTCAGAATCAGTCTTCCTTAGCAAAAAGAGGAGGATTGGCAGTAGATATTAGCTCAGGGCTAATCTTCCTCAAAAAAAAAAAAAAATATATTATATATATATATATACACACACACACACAAAAGAAAGGAGGCAGCAGGAGAGAAATGAAGGACCTGCCAGCTTCGAGTCTGCCAGAAGGAGATGAGTTGAGCCCTTTAAACTGCGCCTTTGCCCTCCACAAAGGAAGTCTGTTTCACCACACCTGTACTCTGCCCCCTCCCACTCCCTGGTGTGCCCTGGCACACATGGGGACCTTACAGATGGGACATGGTTGGCTCAGCACATGCCTCTCCTTGTAACCAGGCAGCCCTGAAGCAGCTTCCCAGGAATAAGGTCCCCAACATGGCGGTGATGATCAAGTCCCTGACTCGAAGCACAATGGACGCCAGTGTGGTTTTCAAGGACCCCACGGGTGAGGAGTTAGGTCCTGGGAGCGTCTCATGAATGGCCTCTGTTGAGATAAGGAGGGGAGGAGGAGTCACCCTCCCCATTTGCAGATGGGAAAATTGAGGCATTGAGTAGCCCACTTCTCACCCAGGGCCCAAACCAGTTGCTGTGCTACCCTTGACCCTGAGACTGATGGGCTGTGTGGTGTTTGCAGGAGAGATGCAGGGCACAGTGCATAGGTTGCTGCTTGAGACACGCCAGAATGAGCTGAAGCCTGGCTCAGTGCTGCTGCTAAAGCAGGTATGGGGAGCTCCAAGTGGGGACCTGCTCTCTACCCCTTCTGCCCTAGGAAAGGCCCCCAAGTTGTCTGTCTGTCTGCCTTCCCTCCCAGTACCCAGGCAAGGAGTGACTGGGCTGGTGCTAGACACTGGCTTACTGGAGCTGAGCGAAGGCCTGACTCCATTCTTTGGGGGTGGATGGGGATAAGGGGTTCTGTGAGGAGAGGAGGGTGTGGTACGTGGTTCTACTCTGGCACCAGGGCTGGGGCAGGAGCAGTTTGTGTGACCCTAGTGCAGAGGCCACCAAGGGAGAGGCAGGTGGGGAGCAGGTGGCACCTAGTGCTCTGTCAGGGCATTGACCTTCCACTTCCTTGATTCCAGATTGGAGTGTTTTCTCCTTCACTCCGAAATCACTACCTCAATGTGACCCCCAACAACCTGGTCCACATTTACAGCCCAGATTCTGGGGATGGGAACTTCTTCAAGCCGCCTCAGCCCTTCCCCGAGGTAAGAGGAGCAGGATGGAATGGGGACTGGTAGAGCCGCTTTCTGCCTAGATCTTCTGATTTCTTCCCCTCCTCCACCCTGGAGCAGAGGTGTGAAGGGAGCGGTTGCCCTGAGGTGAAGTGATGCCTTTGGGGACGGCTATCTCCTCCTGTCTGTAGTCTAGCCGCCTGCCAGATGGCACAGTAACAGGACCTGGAGGAGCAGCTGGCTTCTTGGTGATCCCTGAGAGTCTGATGGCAGGCTTGAACATCAGAGAAGATAGGAGTCACTTGAGAACTAACCAAGTTTAGGGTCCACCAGGGGGTGGTGGCTCTCAGTAAGTGACTGAGGGTCAGCTCTGCTATAGGTGGCAGTACAGAGAACAGTGAGCTAGCAATGGCCTGCCAGGTGAGCCAGCACATGCTCTGCAGCTTCCCTCCCAGCCTCCGTCTCTGCTAGGTGAGGGCGCACCCGGTTTGGGAACTGAAGGAGACTGGGGTTCCAGGCAGCTCTACTCCGGGGTGAGAGTGCAGAGCCTGGCGTTGACTTGGCACACAGCGTCCCCTCTGGCCACCCCCACCCTCCCTGGGATCCTGGACTGTTGGCATGGCCTGGCTGGGGGGTCAGGAGCTCTGAGTCACGTTCCTGCTCTGCTGGTAATTTGTAATGTGACCTTGGGCAAGTCCTGTCCCTCCCCTGCTGTTGCTTCATCTATAAAATGAGCGGGTTAGACTCGATGACTGCTACTTGAGTTACACCTTTGAGTCTAACTTGCTACTTCTATTTCCCTCATCTTTCCACTTAACCTACATTCGCTCAAAATCACTCCGCTTCTAAAAACTCATCTTTATTTCCCTTTAAATTTCAAGTCATCCGTACTTACTGAAAAGTATTGAAATGGTACAGAATAAAGCAAAACATAAAACACCCTTCCCCACGCCCATTCTCCAGGGATAACCATGGTTAACAGTTTAATGACTAATTTTAATAACCTATCCATATATTAGCTAGTTTGGGAATTGTTAACAGCTAATTCTTCATTCCAGGCTAACCACTCAGCATGTTCCTGAGTGGTCCCTTGGCTCTCTGCTCCAGCTGTATAGATTCCCGAAGACATCAGACACCAACAGAATTAGGAGACAAAATCAGTCAAGAAAGCCTTTTGTTTTTGTTTTATTTTTTTAATTCTCTGCTGTTTGAGGTGTTTGGCGTTTCAGCTCCCTCCCTGCAGCACGGCCTGGGTGGCTGGCCCCTGCCACACTCCTTTGTCCTATTTCTTTGAGGTTGTCTGGGTGGAGATGGTAGTGTCCAGAGAGATTTCAGGCCCACAGGCAGTGGTAACCGGATCCTCTGTCGCCAGGATCCAGGATGCTTCCACGGCAGCCTCCAGCATGAGACTGAGAAGCCCAGGAAAGGCCTCAGAACAGCACAGAGCCCAGAGGCAGGGGCACCCCCTGAGGAAGAACTCCCAGAAGCAGGTAAGGCAGTCGGCCCACCCAGGAGCAATAGAGGTTCTCCTCTTTCCACGTGATTCTTCTGGCTGTATCTTATTCCTCCTTCTGTGAATCTGTGGATTTTACAGAATCTCATAGAAATCAGATGAGATGTCTTCTCTAGCAAGGCTGCAGGCCACAAAGTAACTCACAGTGTGATAGGGGCCACGTAAAGCACATAGGGTGCGAGCCCCAAGTTTCCTCCGTTTCCAGGGCAAGTGCTGGTAGCCACAGGAGGAGATGGCCTGGTACACCCTTGTGCCACACCTGAGTCCCCGGTGGGCTGATGGCCAGACTGCAGAGGCAGATTCCCCATCTTGACTAAGCTCAGAGGCCCCCCAGGCAGTGCTGAGGAGTCAGATATCCACGTGGTGAGGGCAGGACCACGATGCAGACCTGAGGGGCCCAAATACAGACCCGTTAGGGGAAGGCCGACTTGTTCCTCAGGAGGCAGCATTACCAGGTGAAGCTGACAGTCCAAGTCTGGCCCTTAGCTTTATTTTTCCTTTTTCTCCCCAAAGCTCTCAGGTACATAGTTGTGTATTTTTTTTTAGTTGTGGGTCCTTTTAGCTGTGGCATGTGGGACGCCGCCTCAGCATGGCCTGATGAGTGGTGTCGTGTCCGCGCCCAGGATTTGAACCCGTGAAACCCCGGGCTGCCACAACGGAGCGCATGAACTTAACCACTCAGCCATGGGGCCGGCCCCCTGGTCCTTAGCTTTTTGATTCCATAAATTCAACCCTGCCTGGCCCCAAAGTTCATGGGATGATGGGTGGGTGTCTCCACATTAACCAAATTTGCAGTAAACCAATTTGTTATATAGTAAAGCCCATTTATTTATATCCTATGAAAAAGTATCCCTTATGCTGGAATCCTCTCTGGAATTTTGTACTCTCCTTTTGTAAGTAAGCTTGATGACAGGCCAAACCACCATCAGAAGGTTGCTGGTGGTCACGGAATAAGAGTGAGAAGAGTTGCCTTTAGAATACTGTGGTTCGTGTCACATCTCCACTGTAGGGACAGACCTGTCAAGAGGCAGCTGCTGGTGGTAGCTGACAGGGCTTAGAGGCACAAACACTAATTCTTACTCTGATTCCCAGTTTCCTAGGCCCACACCAACTGCTCGTTCCCCTTCATTGAACTAGTGTTTCTCCACAGAGTCATCGTGCAGCTAGGGGCAGCTTCTTTTGTTATAATCAAATTCCAGTCCTTCCCTGAGTACAGTGCTGGTCACCTTCATTAAATTTTGAACGCCCCCAAACTCACTTCCATCCTTCCAGCAGCAGTGTTGATCGAATGCTCTGTGCCAGACTGGGAGCTGGGCTCTGAGGTGTAGTTTGCCGTCTGACTTGCTCCTGGGCTGCCTGATCCCATCCAGTAAGCAGGAGTGTTCTGGTTGGAAGCCGTGACTCTGGCGTCAGAGAGAGCCTGAGTGTGCTCCCCTTGGGCAAGGTGTTTGACCTCTTTAAGCCCCGTTCTCTCAGGTAAAGTGGGGACTGTAACAGGACTACCCCGAGATGCCCTAGGAAGGGGTACTGTGGGACGCAAATGAAGTGATGAGTATAACGGGGGTGGCCCTGTGCCTGGCGCAGAGCAAGCACTCAGTAAGTGTTAGCAACTATTGTTAATAATAGTAGCACTAGGGATTCCTGAGGTCAGCTCTCCTTCCAAGTCCTCAGACATAAGCGCCCCATCTGAGAACTGCAGTCAGGAATAGTTACTTTCCTTCCCTACGCCCACAACGGCACTTCGGGGAAAGGGGTGATGTCATCTCCCACTCTTCAGATAAGAAACCGGATTAATGAACTGTGTGATTCTGAATGCATCTAATGACTTTTCTTGGCTTGTTTCTCCCTCGGTCCAATGAGGGGGTTGCACTGGGGGACCTCTGAAGCCTTTCTGCTCAGGCACTGTGCCTCTGGACGGAAAGAGAGGAACCATTGAGGCCCAGGGGAAGCCTCTTTCTTAGCAGACTGGCCTGGGCGTTTTGCCCCTGCCTTTTGTTGTGTGTGGGTGTGTGGAGAGCAGAGGGAAGATGGAAGTCAGGCCAGCCTCAGGCCTATTAGCACCGACACCACTGCCTGGGGGAGCCACCCCCCCCCCCAACTGTGTAGCCAGGTCCAGGCCCTTGTGAAGGGTAGGAGCTTTGGACCTGAGTCACGTGGAGCCCTAATGTTACCACTAAGTCTCCCCAGCATCTCCATCACCCTGCAGATGACCTGGATGGACTCCTGAGCGAACTCCCTGAGGACTTCTTCTGTGGGACCAGCAGCTGGGACTGCCACGAGGCAGGGCACCCACCATGAGCAGGCAGCCTCTCAGTGTCCAAGCAAGGCACTGGTCGTCTGTGATTGTGTCCAAGGGAGAGAGGAAGACCAGCACAATTGGAGCATAGACAAAGCTCGGGGCTTCTGTGGTTGTTCCCACCATGGACACTTTCCCCAACAACGTCCCTCAGATTCTGCACTGCCATCACTTTTGACTTACTTTGGCACACCAGAACTCGGCCCAGGAGGGCCCTCTAGCCCTGCGCCTCCAAGTCCTTGAGTGTCTCCTTTCTTCTCCTCCTGCCGACGGGGAAGCTATGTCACATTCCCCCCTCAGCTCGACTTTAGAGGACATTGGGCCTAGTCCCTTTACTCCCTCGTCCCTGGACAGCTGAGGAGCCGAAGGAGCCACACCACAGCAGTGGCCACCTGTCCCTCTGGACAGGGAAGGAACATCCTCAGACTTCCCTCGGCTTTGTCTCCTGAGGCCTGTAGCTGCTCAGCTCGCCTGTGCCCGTGGCTGCCAGGTGTGGGAGCAGGGGTGTGGCTGTGGTGTCTTGTTCTGAAATAAAGCAGCTGCCTGTTTCCCCTGCCTCCCTCTCCTTCCCACCCTCGCTGCTCCTTGTCCTGTCTGTCCTACCTGTGGTGCTTGGCCAGGGCACAACCAAGCTATTCATTTGCTTTCTCAATCTCGCTCTCTTTTTTTTTTATGAACTTTTTCTTTCAGACAGTTTTAGATTTACAGAATTATTGCAAAGATATTACAGGGAGTTCCCATATACCCCACCCGCAGTTTGCTCTATTATTGCCATCTTACATTGGTATGGTAGATTTGTCACAATTAAAGAACCAGTACTGATATATTATTATTAACTGAACTCCATACTTTATTCACATTTGCTCAGTTTTCCCCTGATGTCCTTTTTCTGTTCCAGGATCCCATGTTACATTTAGTCATCATGTGTCTTTAGGGTCCTCTTGGCTGTGCGGTTTCTCAGACTTTCCTTGCTTTTTAATGACCTTGACAGCTGTGAGGAGGATGGGTGAGGCATATTGTAGGTTGTCCCTCTGTTGAGATTTGTCTGATGTTTTTTCTTGACTAAACTGGGGCTATGTGTTTTGGGGAGGGAGACCACAGAGGGAAGGTGCTGTTCTCGTCACATCATATCAAGGGTTGACGCTGACCTTGCTCACCTCACTGAGGCAGGGTTTGTCAGGTTTGTCAGATTTCTCTCCTGTGAGTTGCTCTTCTCTCTTCCCCCTTTCTATGTGGTACTCTATGGAAGGCAGTCACTGTGCAGCCCACACGCAGGCATGAGGAGTCAGGCTCCACCTCCTAAGGGTAGAGTATCTGCATGGATCATTTGGATTCTTCTGCATGGGAGATTAGTCTGTTCTCCCTCACTTTTATTCAGTCACTCCTTTGTATCAGCATGGACTCAGGGTATTTTATACTTTGGGTTGTAATCCAGCACTACTTTATTTATTTTGTTGCCAAGCAACTCTTCGTCACTGTAGCTTCTCTTTACTACCTTTCAGACCAGACTTGGACAAGGGGCACAGGCAGGGTGTAAAGGGTCTCATTATACCAAGTTGCCAACCTTGTTTTCCTTTCTAGAATGAAGGGAAGAAAGCAAGATTCTCCGAACTCATGGTGGGGGGTGTGGGTTAAAGACCCCAGTTTGATCGCCAGCCTCGCCTGCCTCCGCCTCAGCCTTCACCAAGCAGCTGGGAGTCGGGGGCCTCTGGTGGGCTTGGCACTGCCCTGGGGGAAGACATTAATCTCCCTTTTCCCAAAGAGAAGCTGCCCCCATGGATCCCAGGGGTAAGGCTGAAGTGAGCAAGTGCTCTAAGAACTCCATGTTCAGCTGGCTGCTGGTTGCAGCAGGGCCCATTCTGGAAGCCTTTGTGTCCCAAGCCCAGGAGCAAGAAGGGGCTACTACCCCAGCACCCTGGCCCCTTCACACGCCCATGTGTTCTTCCCACCTGAGCAGACCAGCACTTCGTTCTCTTCCACACACAGCTAACTCCCCAGCTCTGCCTATGCAGCTTAGATCTGGGCTAGAGTTCACCTATGCCGTGTGGTCTTCCTGCACCTAAACCAGCCCGTGCCCCTGGCCTGCAGCGCCCTTCCCCACTCAACCCCTCGAGCCCTAGTCTCTACTGCTCACGGTCCTGACTGACGTCCTGGTTTCTTGTGGTGGGCTTCATCACCCCACGGGCTGTGAGCTCCCTGTGGGCTCATGTGTGGGTTGAAGTAAAGGACTCAAGAAGTTGACACTAAAGACAGTTTTTCTGCCCTCAGAAAGTTGAGGTTAAGGACAGGAGACAGAAGACATGGTCTCTCTGGGGACTGAGCTATAATCAGAGCACATTCAGGCCTGTGTGACAAGAAGGCCGCAGAGAGGCTGGGGAGGTCAGCACAGCCTCAGGCCCCACACATCATGACTGCTGTGTGCCTCCGGAGGAAAGGGACACCCACCCCTACCTTGGCCCTTCTTGACCCCACCCAGCCCTGCCAGCTCCCAACCCTGGGAACCCAGCTGTGGGTGTTCAACCAGGCCGTTGGCGGGGCAGTTAAAACACCAAATGGGTTCCAACAGGGTTACTCACAGCTGCGTTCATAGAGGCACCTTTCTCTGAGGATCTCCTAGCCCTTGCTGTGCATGATCTCATTCCTCCTCTGGGATCACCCACCCTGGAACAGCACCAAGAAGCTGGGGCCAGAGTGGGTGAACAGCAGGGGAAGGCCAGTGCCGGAAACAGCCCAGGCTGCTGCCACCCACTGGGGCAGGCGGATGAGTGTTTGCTCTGGCAGAGAACAGGGGCCCTCAGTCGATGCCCTACATGGAAGAGGCCAGCCCGCTACAAGCCAAGTGCTCCCAAACACCACGTCAGGACCTGTGCGCTGGGCCCTGCTGGGTACCAGAGACCCAGCTGAATAAACTCAGGCCTGCTCTGGAGCCCGCATCTAGCACTGCCTACTGTCATCTGCAGCTCGTTGAGACAGGTGCTTCATGAAGTGCACGGTCCTTCAGGAGCACGGAGTGGGGGTGGCTGGAACTGCACGGATGTCTCCCAGAGCAGGTGACCTTTGAGGAAGGAATCAGAGGGGAATCACAAGCAGAGAGAGCCACGTGAGAGGGAACGGCAGTGAAGGGTGAGGAGCTGTGATGAGAACGCCACGTGATGTGAGGCCGAACCAAGAAACTGGGCTGAGTTGGGGAGGGCAGGTGTTGGAAGTCAGCAGAAGTTTTCAAAGTAGGGAAGTGGCCATTTTAGATCATTCCATTTGGGCAGTGGAGCAGAGGGGTTGTGGCCAGAGGAAGGAACACCAAGCAGGAGGCTGGGCTGGTCCAGGTTCAAGGCACTGAGATAGTGACTGAAAATGTGAGAACGGGAGCTGAAACTTCATGTGAGGGGACCAGGGCGAGGAAAAAGTCAGCGACAACTGAGCAGGCTGCTGTGGGGCCAGGGGACGGTGGAGGAGGGGAAGCACAGCCGACCTGGGAGCCAGGAGGAGCCCGCAGTGCTGGGAGACAGAACAGCTATGGCCTGCAGCCAGGGCGGGATGGGGCTAGGCCAACCCTGAGGGGCCGAGGGGCCGAGAGCTGGCCCACCAGCACAATGGGTGAGTGGCAGGGTTAGGAGAGCTTCTGAGGCGGGGCTGTCATCCCTCCCACCCTCCCCTTCCCTGGCTTAGCAGCCACACCAGCTGTTGCTGTTTCATGGCCTTATTCCTCCCCCTAGAGGCTCCTGGAAGCAGAGCCGCTTTCTCCTCAGAGTGAATGAGTTTGTGGCTTGAAAGTCTCTGTGGCTGGAGTCCCCAGAGGTGCGAGGTCAGCCCCTTGGCCCTCAGGCAGGCACGTGAGCCCTTTTAGGAGCTGGTGGGAGAGCGGGAAACAAGACTCACTGAAGGCAGTTTCTAGAGATGACGCTGTCCTGCCTGGAGAGTGGGGACAGGCTCTCACAACTGTCTTCGCCCTCGCGTGACCTCAGGAGCTGGAGCCAAAGTGCACCATCTGTGGAGTCAGGCCAACTGGGGTCCTAGTCCTGGCTCCACCCCTCACAAGCTGTGACCTTGAGCCAGTAGTTTTATCTTGTTAAGGCTTAAGTTCCTCATTGATAAAACAGACACAAGACCACCCGTCTCAGAGGTGTTCAACTGTGATAAATTAGCCTGATCACATATAATTTTTTGTCAAAACCAAGCTTACCGTTTACTTTGGCGAGCCGGGAAGTGCGGCCGTGGGAGTGAAGATGGATATGAGTGGCTTAAATACTGTAAAGCCCCGTGCACACATATGCACGTTGCCGCACATGTGCTGTGCCTGCAGATGCTGGGGAGAGCTTCTGAACTCCTTGACCGGCCCTTATTTCCTGGGCTGGGGTCTGCCTCCAGCCAACGTCGGAGAGGTTCTGGCTCCTCCTCCCTGTCCTGTCCATCTCCCTGACTGACTGTTTCACTCACCTTGGCCCTTGCCAACCCAAGAGGCTCCCTCCAGAGATGGATGGCTGCAGATCCTGGGGTTCAGGGGTGGCCTCAGCTGAGGGCCAGCTGCCCTATCGGAGGCTATCAGCACAGGCAGAAGCTGGCCCTAGCCCTGGGCTGGGGGTTGGCCCAACACCTTCTCTGCTCCAGGATCACGACTCTGGGCAAAGAGTGTTTACCAGAGCAGCAAAGGGCCTATTTATAGCCTCAGCTGCTCCTCTCTCTGGGTATCGGGTGAGGGGGCAGGGTGGCTCCTCAGAGCGAGGGTGGGAGTCGGGCTGAGGAACCCAGCTCTGCTCAGCTGCCACTGCCCAGACCCCTGGGCCCCTCCTCATGGCGGAGGAGAGCTTCCCCTTCACCTCCTCCACTCTGCGCTCTCTCCGCCTGCAGCGGGAGTGGCTGGAGTGGGAGGACCGGCGGCGGGCTGCGGCCCGGCAGTGCAGGAGCCACAGGTGCCCCCCAAGTTCCCAGGCCCACCTCACTAGGCCACGCCGCTCCTGCCGAGACCCAGCTGTCCACAATGCCCTGTTCTCCGGCGACCTGCAACAGGTCCAAGCTCTGTTCCAAGATGAAGACACTGCCAACATGATTGTGGAGACCGTGAGCAATCAGCTGGCCTGGTCGGCCGAACAGGGTAGGTAGTACCAGGTGGGGGCAAAGAGGAGAGAGAGGGAAGGGGGGGTGGAGAGAGGGGGAGAGTCTCAGCCCCATCTTCTCCCTCCAGACCATAGACTAGACCATCCCTTTCCACTGCCCATTCTAGCTCCCCCCTAAACAGAGATGAGGCGTAGTTAGTGGTTTGTGTGTCTTTTCAGAATTAAAGTTACGTTAACATATTATATTAATTACGTAGGAACACAGTTATATTCTAATGTAATTTTTTCTCTGAATATACATCCACACATGATATTTTTTCCTTCATAGAATGAAATCAGACCCCATATGCTATTTTATAACCTGATTTTTTCAGGTAACACCTTTCTATGTCGATAGCAGAAGTCCACATAATATTTTAAATAGGTGCATAAATTCTATTGTATGAGTGTGCCATGATGGATATAACTAGCCCCCAAACAAATTGGGTTCCCTTTTTTTTTTTAAGCTATTTTAAATAGCAATATGACAAACATCTTTGTGTACTTGCCAGATGATTTCCTTAGGATCTATTCTGACCGGAGGGTTTGCCCATGCAAAGCAAATACCACAGCTGAGATCACCCTGCTCTTCAGACTGACAGGAGACTGCCTCAGCTCCCACCCATGGATGTGGGGGTTCAAAACCCTTGGAGAGCTTATGCTCTCGCAGCCACCACTGGCTCCAAATTCCTCTTTGGCTTCATGTTAGAGATCTGGCCCCACCCAGGGCATCCTGGCCTCATCCT